AGGAATGGGGCTTCTGGCCTCCGATCAGGCGCTGGCGAAGGATCCGAGGACGAAGAAGTTCGTGGAGCTGTACGCCGGAGACGAGGCGGCGTTCTTCAGGGACTTCTCGCAAGCCATGGAGAAGCTGAGCGTTCTTGAGATTAAAGCTGAAGGGAAAGGAGAAGTGAGGAGAAGATGCGATGTGTTCAATTCAATCAGCGCTTGATTGAAAGAAAACAAATAAATAAAAAGATTTTTCGGACTGTAATGGCAATGGCATGACACATCTCCATAAATGATTATTATTCTTTTTATAAAATTGATCGGTTGATTTTTTTTAATTCGTAGAGGGGATTTTGTTGGCCCTTTTGTTTTTGTTTTTGTGAACTCGCTGTTAAGACTTGAGAAAGGGTGAGTTTTCACTGGTGGAACAGAATTTGAGAGGAGGAAGAATTAATAAATATATGTTTTTGTACTTTATTTGGTATTTTAATGGAGTGAAATTTCCTTTTTTTATTGCATGAAACTTAGAGAAGTTGGTCACATCACAAGGAATGATTTTTTTCTTTCTCTAAATTCAATATTATAGGTAAATGGTTTTGAGAATTTAAATAAAGTGAACTGTAATTGCAACTTTAGGAAAAAATGTTTACATTTCAATTTTTTTGTATATAAAAATGTTTACTTTTATAATATATGGTTTTCTTCTCATATTGGAGACTAATTCTGCATTTTTGAATCGCGAGTTTAAAGATTTGAGGTTAATGATCTTTATCCATACTTAAAAACAAAAATTTGTTTTTTTAATCAGTATTTAAATCTATAATTTAACTAAAATAAAATTATTTAAATTATTATTTATATACCATGTTTTCTTTCACACACACTCTCTCTCTCTTCTCCTCTTTCACTGTGATTGTTTTGTTTTGGTTTTTTGTCACTAAAATTTAGAAGCCATATGAAATAAATGATTTTTTCGGTGCATATATGAAGAGAAACTATTTTTTAGATCATGTGTTATCTCAACTAATTCTTGAATTTATATAATATATATATTCAGATAGGCATATATAAATGAATAGATTATCCAAATTTGTGTAATTTGTACGACGAATTGTATAAAAAATTAATAGGGTAAAATATATGCTGACATAATAGAATGCTACCTGACGGTTAGAATGCGGATAATAATTAGATTTGATGACGTGGCAATTTTGCTAATTAAGCTTTTATGAATGTCATTTAATTATCAGCTAATTAATTACTAATGGCTGTGGAAGCATAGTAGAATAATATTGGTGAGTAATTTCACAAAATGGGGGGTGAAAATCATATAGTAGA